TTATTTTTGTGTGATTATTTCTTGTAATTAGACTCTATGCAGATACCATAATGCCAAAATAGGATTTTAATATTTTAGGTGTGTCTCTTGTATATGTTTAGCTGGATTAAAAATATTTGAGCAATGCTTATCTTTTGAATGGCCTTTCTTTCACTTACTGTGATGATTATATTTTCATGCATTTAAAAAGTTAGCTTTATTGTGATGTAGTTAAGATCCTGTATAGTTCACCTATTTAAAGTATACAGTTTTATGTTTTTCAGTATATTCTCAGAATTATGCAGCCATCACCACAATCTGGTTTTAGAACACGTTCATCCTGCCCCTAAAAGAAGCCCATTAGCTGTCACTCCCCATCCCTACTCCCAGATCTAAGCAACGACTAATCTTTCTGTCTCTATAGATATCTTTATTCTGGTCATTTCACATAAATGGAATTATCTATTATACAGTCCTTGGTGACTACTTTCACATAGTATGTTTTCTGTCCTCATTCATACTGTAGCATGTATCAGTACTTCATTTTATTGCAAAATAATATACCATTGTATAGGTAATCCCACATTTTATTTATCTTTTCATTGGTTGATGGACATTCAGATTATTTCTGCCTTTTTGTTCTTAAGAATAGTGCTTCTATGAATATTCTTGTATATATTTCTCTTGGGTATATACCTAGGAGTAGAATTGCTGGGTCGTATGGTAACTCTATGTTTAACTTTTTGAGGAACTACCAAATTGTTTCCTAAGGGGCTGCACCATTTTACATTCCTACCAGCAGCATATGAGGTTCCAATTTCTCCACATCCTTGCCAACATTTATATGTCATTTTGATTCTAGCTATCCTAGTGGTTGTGAGGTGGTATCTCATTGTGTGTTTTTTAATAAGGCACTTCACTATCTTTGTGGCTTGATTTGCATTTCTCTGAACACAAATGATGTTCAGCCTCTTTTCATGTGCTTTTAAAATAAGGCCATTTTTATACTTTGTATGGATAAAAAAAGTCTTTTCATATTTTATGCCTATTTTTAAATTGGTCATTTGTGTTTCTATGGTAGAGTTTAAGGGTTTTTTATGTAATATTGTATAAAAGTCCCAATTAGATATAGGATTTGCTGAAATTTTCTCCCAGTTACGTGGGCTGTCTTTTAACTTTTTGATGGTATTATTTGCAACCGAAATATGTTTAAATTTTGATGAAGTCCACCTTTATTTTCTTTGATCTCTTGGGATTTTGGTATGGTATCTAGGAAACTATTGCCTAACTCAAGATAATGAAGATTTCTTCTAAGAATTTTATTTAGTTTCTTCTAAGAGTTTAATAGTTTTAGCTGTTACATTTAGGCCTATGATTCATTTAATATTAATGGATGTTATGAAGTCATGGTTTAACTTTATTCTTTTGCTTGTGACTATCCAGTCACACCATCTCTAAGTATTCTTCTGGTTTTTAATGTAGAGATTATAATATATACCCATAACTTGACTGTCTATAATGGTAATCAGAATCTTTATTCTTTTCTGATAAATACAAGGACTGTAGAATGTTGGAATGCCAGCCACCCCTGTTGTGGGTTATATGCCATAGTTGCTAAGTATATATATTTTTGTTTTTACCCACAAGTTATATACTGTTTTTATTGTCGTCTGCATTGTTACTTTTGTTTTTTTTTAGATTTAATCAAAAGTTTGCCATTTCTCTTCCCTGTTCTTTTTTTCAACTCAATTCATTATTCTTTATTCTGAAATAAACTCAAGAAACTTTAGCAGTTCTTTCAGTGAGTCTGCAAATTCTGTTTTTGCTTAGCTGAAAATATATTTTTCTGTCTTGACAGTTTCCCTTCAAAAACAATTTTTGGATGCCAGTTATTTACTCAGCCCTTTGAAGATATTAGTCCACTGTGTTCTGGATTCCATTATTGCTATTGAGAAGTTGGCTATCATTGATAGTTGTTTTATGAATAGTCTGCCCTTTCTCTATGGCTCATCACTTCTCAGTGTTTGATGTTTTATAGTTTTTTCATAAGCTTTATTCCTGCTCTGCAGCTGTGTAACAATGAAATTGTAAGCCTTTAGGGGAAGGTCTGATTCATATTTTTATTGAGATTAATATATTTATGTTATCTTTTCTACCTAGCAGAATGCCTTGTACTTAATACATTCCCAGGAGACTCTTTGAATTACTTTGTATAGCACCTTTCCCTAGCAGTGTGTGGTTTAGAATATTTAAAAATATTTACCTAAAAATATAGAGAATACCTAGAAATGTTCATTTGTTTTTGTTTTTGTTTTGTTTTGTTTTTTTTAAAAGAATGGGTTATATGTGGCATAAATTTTTTTTTTTTCCATGTAACATGATATGATCATGGCATCAGCAGGAAGGGGAAAAACTCGTTGTGTTGTATAAAAATTATTGCCTTTGTGGTTAGGGTTAACATTTTTATTTAATAACATATTTTATATTGACTGATAAGTATAAAATGTTATACTTTAAATCATAATGTTTTGATACAGGATTATATAGTTTACTGATTATTTTTTAAACTGTAAAGACTTGTGTTTTATTGTTATAATATAGCTCTGGAGGGTGGGAGTGAGTGGTCTCTTTTTGCATCTAGTTCCTTATTACTGTGAGAAGGATAGAGCAGAGAGAGAGAGAGAGAGAGAGAGAGAGAGAGAGAGAGAGAGAGAGAGAGAGAGACAGAGAGACCATCCCTGTATATAAGAGAAGATAGAATCAATGGTTTCATCTGTTACCAGATGAGAATAACATGACAGTGAAACAGAAGATTGGGGTTTTGTTTGGAATTGAGAAATATGTTGTCTTAAATATAATTCACTTGCATTATCAGGTTATAGTGATGTTCTTTTTTCATATTCTGGCCTTAAAAACTTAAATCTGCCTGAAACCATTAGCTCTTCTATGCCCACTGTCAATGCTATAAGCTATATTCTTGAGTCTTTAAAAGGTCTACCCTGTCTTGGTTTCAGATATCACTGTTGTAACTTAGATGTAAGCTAGATGCTGTAGTAATAACTCAAATTTGGGATTTGTGGCTACAATTAGTTAGCCTCATCAAGCATATTAGGAATTGAATTATATCTACCTCTAATTAACTGTGATTCCTTAGGGCAAAATAACATTTTTAAGTGTTAAAATTGTTAAAGTTGACATCTTCTGGACTCATTGCTGTCTAAGATGTAATGACCCTCCTCCCGCCTCCCCGAAATTCATACTGGGGGAAAATATTTAATTCTTTGTTCATATATTCTTAAATATTTAATTTTTAAATTTTAATTCTTATATTTAATTATCCTATAAATACTAAATATTTAATTCTTTCAGATATTTAATTCTGTCTTCATTTATTCACGTGTTGTGTGTGCATATGTGTGTGAATAGACTAAGCTTTGATCCTTAGTTAAAAAAAAGGATCTGAACGTCACAGTTAATCAAATTTTACACTAGAACTCAGATACTGGTTGTGATTGAACTTAGAATATTTAAGCTTAAAGGCTTCAGAACTGGAATCAGACCCAAATGGAATAATGTTATTTAAATGAAACAGCAGAATAACTTATTTGGTAGTGATATCTTCTAGGCCCTTCTCTATTCTTACTGAATCATCATCTCTTGGAGTAGGGCACCAGTTCTCAGGTAACTTTTTTAATACTAAGATTTGAGAATTTGTAATAAGAGAATTTTAGGAATAAATTCTATATTCAGTGTAATAGTCTATGGACAGCATATATCAACCACTTTCAGGTTGAGGGAATAAACACTAGTCTGATGTGAAATTGATTTTTCACTCATTGTTGATTTTTCTGTGTATTTGGAAAGTACTGAGTTAGTAAAGGCAGAGAGGAAAGTAGCACATTATCAGATTGAAGAAGCAGCCAAATCGGGTCTTAGAGGGTATGGCTGTGACATGGGAAGTGAGACAATTACCTATTTATTATTCATACTTTAGAAGTGTTTCAAACTCTTTGAGGTCGTAGAACAACAAAATACCTTTGCAGAATTTTGACCACATGGTAAAGTTATATTCCTTGGAAAGCGATTAAAATAAGACATTGTATATAGTAAAACATGGAAGTATTTTTCTCCTTTTGTCCTCTTTCCACTATGTAGAGGTTACCTTTGTTTACTAAGTTTTGGGTGTATTCTTCCAGATCTTTTCTTTGCTAATGAATGTATATGTATTTATATATAAATATGCACACGTTTATGTCTGTTCACTTAAGTGTATTCATATTTTAAACATTGCTATGTACAAATTGCCTCTCTTCTTCCAAAGACTATAACAGCTTATGTTCCCATCATTGTATATTTGCAGCCTTTAATAGTTTTCTGACTATGATAGAGAATGTACTTTTACTATTTGTGAGTTTGAGCATTGTTTTTCATGTATTCTCTAGTTGTGTTTCTTGCTTGATTTGCTTATTAATTTTTTTTGGCCTATTTTAAAATTGAGTTGCTAGAATTTTTTGTTGATTTATTGGAGCTCTTTATATGTGTGGATATTTAGCCTTTGTCTGTTGTATTGAAAATAATATTTACTTGTAGCTTTTTAATGACATAATAATAACTAACATTTTGCTTTCTGCCAGGAATTCTTCTGCGTGTTTTATGTGTATTGGTTTATTTCTCACTGTTGTCATCTCCACTCTATGGAGGAGGCAACTGTTAAATTTGAATCTAAAAAGGCTCCATATTTTACTTTTACTTTTTTTTTTTTTTTTGAGACAGAGTCTAGCTTTGTTGCCCAGGCTGGAGGGCAGCGGCATGATCTCTGCTTACTGCAACCTCTGCCTCTCAGATTCAAGCAATTCTCCTGCCTCAGCCTCCTGAGTAGCTGGGATTATAGGTACCCACCACCACACCTGGCTAATTTTTTATTTTTAATAGAGACGAGGTTCCACTGTTGTTGGTCAGGGTGGTCTTGAACTCCAGACCTCAAGTAATCCGCTGCCTTGGCCTCCCACAGTGCTGGAATTACAGGCATGAGCCATTGCGCCTGGCCCTATATTCTACTCCATATAATATTTTTGAGATCAAAACTGTTATACTTAACCTTAGCTCTATATTTTTATCTGCAATTTGATACAGGACTAATGTTTAATTTTTTTTAAATTTAGGGATATCTTTTAGATGCTCTGATAATTTTAGTATAAATATTCCTTTAGGAATATTAATACAAATATATGTCAAAATATATAATGCTGTAATATATGAATACAAATATTCCGTAAACTTTTGGGGACATCTGTCCTATTTCTATTTAGAACCAACCCTCAGTAGCATATTCCCCTTTATTTTCTTTTCTCCTGATTACCAGAGTAGTCTGTTAATCACTGTGTTTGCCAGTTTTGCTTTAATCCATTGGCAACTCTGCTGTCAGAATAATCATCTTAAGTACAATTTTGATCATGCCATTCACTCCTTTGTTTGGAAACTCAGTGATACCATGTTTCGTGCTGAGTGAAGGCCGGGCTCTTTACTTAGCAGAGTGTTTAAAGATGTGTATAATTCTGCTTCACCTTTACCTATCAAGAGTTACCTTGACAACTTTTCTTGGCACTTTAACTCCATACTGTAGATGCATGGATTTATTTTTCTTCTTATATAGCCATATTCTCTTGGCTTCATGATTGGATCATTCAGTGTTTTTAATCAGCAGAAGTTGTTTACTGGCTGATTAAGCACTTAGGAAATTTAAGGATATTTGGTACTTCACAGAATTTTTAGGAAGGCTGGAGAACCAGGATTGAGCATAAGCTTCCAAGTAATATGCCTCAAATAATATATGAAAACCGTCAGTTTTGCGCCACCAAGCTGCCTAGCTGCTGCCAGTTCTGGGATAGGAATTTTGATTCTGCAGCCACTGTGGGGCCACTTCCGTCACTGCCATTGTGGAAACGTGATGCCTCTGCTGTTGCCTATACCACCCAAAAATGGTAGCTCCACATCGAGTCCATTTTATCATGTGACTTACTTCCAAACTGCAGTCTTGTGCTGGTGCCTGTGAATGTCTGCATCATAGTTACAGGGTATAGTGGGATTTTGAGGTCTGAAATATATTTTGGGAAGGTTGGAGTCAGTAATGTGAGAATTTTCCTAAATGCAGGAAGTTTCTTCAGAAGCTGATAGGCAGTTTTGAATATGATAAATGTCTACTATAATACTTTTGCTCATATTCCTTTATCTGCACTTGATCTTAGCCAAAAGGCCGAGAAGCGATATATTCCTTCATCTGTAATGTTTTTCCATTTTCGTCTCCAGGTTAACAAATACTGTGCAAAGACCTACTGGAATTTTATTTTTTGAATTAGTCTACCTGGCTCGTTTTTATCTGAATTTTCTTACAACTTTACCAACATATCTTTTCCCATAAGACAGTATCAAAGAACACAAGTAATAAGTATATTCTGGTGTAACAGTCAAACAGTGTGGGGAGATAGAGAATAAATTGCTAAAGTCTTCATCTCTCACCTCCCGCCCCCAACCCCGACACATACCAGTTTAAATTCCTACCCCCTTTCTAGATATCCCTTGATTACAAAACTATAGTCTTTGGTTTTAGTTTGATATATATGATAACGTGGCACTTAATGGTAAATTTGTTGAGTATGTAAGCCTTTATTTATCTTTCAGCCTTTCATTTAGTCTTCTAAAACTATTCATTTGTATAGAAGTGTATGATGTGAAGGCCTGACTTAAGGTAATAGAAATTAAATTATTTTGGAGGTAAGAATGTACAACTTGGGGATTTAATAAATATAAAGATAAAGGAATCAAAGTAGATGCTAAGGTTCTAGCTTGGGGTGAATATGAATATATATACACATATAATCATACACACACACACACGCACACCATTGAGTGAGACTGGAAGTGAACCCTTTGGCACTCTTTTTCATTATTGCAGGAGTACCTTTACTCATATTTTTCATTTGAACTTAAATTGTTTGGGGAGGTTCTAAAATGTTCACATCTGGCATAGATTTCCACAGTTCAGGAAAGACACAGAAAAATACCATTTTTTAGATAGAGTTGTGTCTGAGACTTCATTGCTGGATTATGAATAAGACCTCTCAATAAGAAGTTGGATTTTTTCTTATAAAGGCACAGTACTTTGAGCAAATTTGAATCTATTTTAAATCATTTTTCACCTGCAAGTACAGTAGATGGTAAAATACCATATAATTTATCTTGTATCCATATTTAGAAAATTCAATTTGAAAGTATATTGACTTGTTTCAGATAAAAGAATAATAGTAATTTCCTCATTTTGAGGAAGTATTTTTGTAAAGGTTGTGTTGGCTGGGCGTGGTGGCCAGTAATCCTAGCACTTTGGTAGGCTGAGGTCGGTGGATCACCTGAGATCAGGAGTTTGAGACCAGCATGCCCAACATGGCAAAACCCTATCTCTACTAAAAATACAAAAAGTTAGTTGGGTGTGGTGGCAGGCGTCTGTAATCCTAGCTACTTGGGAGGCTGAGGCAGGAGAATCGCTTGAACCTGGGAGGCGGAGGTTGCAGTGAGCCAAGACCATGCCACTGCACTCCAACCTGGGTGACAAGAGTGAAACTCTGTCTCAAGGAAAAAAAAAAAAAAAACAAAAAACTTGTGCTTTGAAACCATGTTCAGACGTTTCTTTTGACATTTTGCATTTTACCCCATTCTCTTTTGTCTGTTAATTGTAACTAATTTGGCAATCTTTTCTCTTTTCAGATCATTCAACTTCAAGTGGCACATTATCTTTTAAGCCTAGTCAATCACTGGTTACTCTTCCTACTGCCCATGTGATGCCGTCTAACTCCAGCGCTTCAATTTCCAAACTTAGGGAATCATTGACACGAGATGGCTCAAAATGGAGTACAAGCCTCATGCAAACATTGGGAAAGCACAGTAGGGGGGAGCAGGACTCTTCACTAGACATGAAGGACTTCCGTCCACTTCGGAAATGGTCATCTTTATCCAAACTCACTGCCCTGGATAACTGTGTCCAGGGTAGCACTGTTTGCAGAGAAGAGTCAAGGAATGGTTTGGAAAAGACAGGGAGGGCTAAGGCTTTAATATCACAACTGAGGACAGTTGGGCCTAGCTGTTTACATGATAGTATGGAGATGCTTAAGTTAGAGGACAAGGATATAAATAAAAAACGGTCATCAACTTTAGACTGCAAATATAAATTTGAGAGCTGTAGCAAGGAGGACTTCAGAGCCTCTTCCTCTACTCTGAGGAGACAGACTGTAGACATGACATATAGTGCCTTACCTGAAAGCAAGCCCATTATGACAAGCTCAGAGGCCTTTGAACCTCCAAAATATTTAATGCTTGGTCAACAATCAGTAGGTGGAGTTCCCATTCAGCCTTCTGTAAGGACTCAGATGTGGCTTACAGAGCAGCTGCGGACAAATCCTTTGGAAGGTAGAGCTACAGAAGATTCTTACAGTTTAGCTCCTTGGCAACAGCAGCAAATTGAAGAGTTTCAGCAAGGAAGTGAAACACCAATGCAGGTAAGGCTCAAAATTTAGTGTTTGCTTCCCTCCAGTGGATGTTATGAGTATAATAGCACACTTGCAGTAAGCATATGACAAGTGTCCACAGATAGTTTTGCTTTTCCCTGCACATTAATAAGCAGAAATGTTACCTGAAAAATGTTGTGTTGATAAACAAAACTTACACAATATTTGAGACTAATTAACATGAAAATCTTGAAACCTTGTGTCTAACTTGTTCTTTCCTTTTCATTTATTAAATGGGCATGAAAATAAAGCAAAACATGCTCAATCTAAAGAAACTTGGAAACAGAAACAAAAAAGCTAGAATAGGTTTTATAGAAAGAGTGCATCAACTTGACCATATAAGGTCTTAGATTTTGTTTCTGGTTCCATTTAGAACCTGGATGATTTTTGTCACTTAATTTCTCTGGGCCTCAGTTTCTTCATCTGTACAGTGAGAAGGTAGAACTACAGTCATTTATGAAGTTTTGGTGATTGATAATGTATTTAGGTTTATAATTCAGATATACTTATTTAAAAAAATAATTATACAGTATGTCAAGACTTATTCATTAATCAGTTTTATAGAAAGAACTGTATGATGATGTCCTATATAAAGAAAAATAGTATATAGCCCCCAATTGGTCTAGGGAATAGCATGTCAATGTGTAAATTTCTTAATCTGGGGGTGTTTCTATTTCAAGATAATTTTCTGTAGCTTGTTTTAACTAGGAAACTAATTTTCTAATAGAAATACTGTCATCTGTTTTTTATCATCAGAATTTTCTCAAACAATTCTATTAAAAATTACAAATTTTCCCTAGAGTAAAAATCTAAAATTGCTATTCATTACTACTGCTAATAAAAACAAATAGAGTAAATGAACATAGGCTATGAAAGGATAAGTAAATCACTTATCCAGGATCCTCACAAATCTGAGTATGATCCCAAAACATAGAACCTAACATGCTGCATTCATAGGAGAACGTTAACATATCGCATGTGCCTTCTTTATTCTTATTTTAGACCCAGTTCTTATAATTTTGATTATGTACTTAAACCACATAATCAAAACAGAAGAATCACTATGACCAAATTACAAATTTGTGATTTATCCATTCAAGTGATTAAAAATAGGAAATTAATTTTTCAAATACTATCACGTTTTAGTTTTCAAATGTTTGTTATTACAGGAAAACTGAGATCAGGCAGTTGTTTCTCCAGCTGGCGTCTTTGCACAGAATTGGAGCTGACCAATGGGTCTGAGTGTACTATTCCAAACTAGAGTAGGTGTGATAGATAACTGAGAAAATTGGGCATGCCTTTTTTTGTGCTTGGACAAACCTCTGCTTTAAACAAGGTGTTTTTCTTAACCTTAAAGCAGTTCAGAAGTGGGTATGGAGGTTGGGGACACACTGCAGAGAAAAATTTGTTTTTAAATCTTCCTGGTGCATAGTAGAAAGAGAAGGCTACTAACAAGCAAAATTTACATATCCCTGGAAAGTCCTACTTCTTGATTAACTTTATTGGGGATGGTCTCTTTATAGTGCTTTTAAAAGTTTTAGAGTAGAAAGATGAATTCAGGTAAAGAAAACTAGACAAACTTAAGTTGTAATGATTAAATGACTGCTTCCCTTCTAATTTCCTCCTTGGAAAACTACAGAAAAAAGTTGTTAAATACCTTCTTGGAGCCTCCAGTAATATTCTCTTTATTTTAAAAGCTTTCATCATAGTTGTTTCTTAAAAGCCTCTTTGAAACATTGACTTCCAACCAGGTACTGTAACTCATGCCTGTGATCCCAGCACTTTGGGAGGCCAAGGCAGGAGAATTGCCTGAGTCCAGGAGTTTGAGACCAGCCTGGGCAACATGGCGAGACCCCGTCTGTGAAAAGGAAAAAAGATAAAAATCTTAGAAACACTGATTTACGTAAAAACAAAAATTAGACATAAAAACACTCTTTACATCTAATTTTTACATGAAGAGAAGAAATTTAATAAGGATCAGCTCATCTGGTAAATTGTGATTTTCAAGCACAGCTTTTAAACACTCACCATGAAAAAACAATATTTTTACAGCTAAGAAAAGGAATTTGGCTGAAAGTCATGATCTAATAAAACCATGGATTTATATATTATGGAATTCTGTAGCTTTCACAGTATTTTATCTCATTTGATCCTCACAGCTCCCCACTCCCCAGGTTAATTTGTAACATTAAAGGTTTGCTCTTCTAAGGACTCAGTCCAGAATAATTATTGAGCCAGCCACAGATTCCTATGTGTGTGTTGTTCTTTGATTTCCATGGTTTTCTGCTAAATTATTAAGAGTGCAGGAGTGTAGTACTCCGAAGCATTTTCCTTTGTGAATGAAAAGAAGCCATTATACCCTCAGATGGTTTATGATAGAGGGCCCCATGTATAATGCCCACTGCTAGCCTTTGACTCTTTCCTTTGTAGTACATCATACTTCTGCTCCCCATCCACTGCAACCCCTAAGCTACCTGACTCTATAAGAACTGGGACAGAGGAGAAAAAGCAGTCTGGTGTTCTCTTTGGGAAGAATCCTTCCCTTTCCATGTCCCCGTTGGGTTTCTTTTCTTGGGGAAGGTAGGGTGGAAGGGGTGGAGGATAAATACTTCTACACGTAACGGCAGTATCCAATGGATTCCTTTAAGCCCACGATGGATCTCCCAGCAGTAGTGAAATAATAGTCTCTTTATTGACGAAGTTGTTTATCCTTTTTTTCCCTAAGATGTTTCTGAACTTCAGGGGGCAATCATTAAAAAGATGAAATTTTGTGCCTATTTAGTCATAAGGGGGTTTGAACAGTTATGGTATTGGCACCTATTGATTTTAACATATTTTACTGGAGATTTTCCCTTATATGAATCAAAAATTTGAACCAAGCACAGTAGCTCACCCCTGTAATCCTAGCACTTTGGGAGGCTGACAGGGGAGGGATAGCTTGAGGACATGAATTTGAGACCAGCCTGGGCTGGTGAGACCGCATCTGTACAAAAAATAAAAAGAATTAGCCATATGTGGTGATGTGCCCCTGAAGTGCTAGATTCTTGGGAACCAAGGTTGGAGAATCTCTTGTGCCCCAAGAGTTCAAGTCTGCAATGAATAATGATCATGTATCTGCATTCCAGCCTGCATGACAGAGTAACCACCCTGTCTGTTGATTAAAGAAAAAACTGATAAAATGAATTAAAGTAAAATGACTTGTTTTTTGTCTAACATGAAATAATAATGAAAAAGTTTTATAACTTGGGAGTGTTTTATGTATTCTATTATGTCCTCTGAAAATAAAGTATTCTTATTTTTATATTTTCTTATATTTGTACCCTGTTCTTTCATTTTTTAACTGTTTGAGATAATTTATGTATTCAAAGATGTGGACGCTATGACACTCCCTATATTAGGATATGACACATTCATTAAGTAGTTAAAAAGGACTTTTATATACAAGTTTTAAGTGAATAAAGTTAGTAATGTGTTTGACTGTTTTCATCTGTCAGGTTTTCTATATAATATTAGCATAACATTTCTGGACATTTTAAAGTGTGCTGTTACTTAGCAGAAGAGCAGATACTTTCAAAAATTTATTATAGTCCTACTTTGCCAGAAGACTCAAAAATAATCAAAAGATAAATAATCTCTGTTAGTAGCAATTCATTATTTTATATGGGTCTGCTGTGTCTATACTAGAGCATCTTGATTTTGTTTTATTTGGGACAAATCACCAAAAAACTCCTGTAAAATCAAAACTATAGTTAAAATGGTTTATCATTAGTATCAATCATAAGTATATTTTAGAGCAGCTTCACTGAATTTTCAAGAACATTTTTATGTAGTGATTCTGATGATTTGCATTAAACAAATACACATTCTTATCCAATTAAAATATAAAAGGCAACATTAAGCATTTTAAAATTGTTTTTTAGTACCCTGTAAATTAAGATCAGAACTCATTCCATAGTAGAACATATTTGAGCATTTAGTATTTTAAATTTTAAAAATAAATTGTTATGAATTTACATTTCATGATAAAGAATAGTTTATTCTACTTTATAATTTGAGTTATAATGTAGTATTCTGTAATCCTCACAGAATAAGATTTTAATTTCTATCAAACAATGAAGAACAAAAAAAAATACTTATTTCTGTTTACTGAGGAAAATACTGTAATGAACAATGTAATGAAAGGACTATGACTAATCAGTTCAAATTATCCACTTGTTTTTAAGACCAGTGCAGCTTATTATAGAACTTGGATACTTTTTGTATTGGTAATTTACTAAAACCAGTAAGGTGAGTGTATTACCTGTTGTTTATAAGCTTTCTACTTGTTATTATGGATTTCCAACTTGTAGATGAGGTTTCGCTTAAGAAAACTCTGCCCATCCGTTATTCAGGTATCCCTGAACCAAACCCTTTCCGCTCCCATCTCTAGTACCTCTCATGGTTTCAGAAAATTTAATAATGTCTCCTTCACTATTCAGTTAGCAGCACTTGTATAAGAAACCAAGATCAATATTGATGCTTCATATTCTTTTAGTAACCATGTTTTAGAGGATATGGTTAATTATATATCATCTGCCCTTTTAATAATAGTTATATTAGTAACATGTCTTCAGTTGGAATTAAAATTGTTGGATTATACAGTTTAGACTTAATTTTAAACTTTAGTCAACTTAAATTACCAAAGTTTGGTGAATATATTTGTCAGCACTAAATTTTACTTCAGTTGTTTTGTGAGTTATTGGAAGATGTTCTGAAATGATCAGAGGAGAAATTGAAAATTTATTCATCAAGAAAATAGTTATAGATAGCATTGTTGGATCTATAATTTAGCTCAGTAGAGTGGCTTACAAAATAGATGTTTACCATTTGATTGATTGATTAAGGAAAATAGCTATATCCTATTACAGTTGATGCTAGAACGACAAGGACTTGAACTGAGAGGGTCCACTTATACATGAATTTTCTTTTCCCCCACTCCCCACATCCCTAAGACAAGACTGCAAGACCAATCCCTTCTCTTCCTTCCCATCTTTCTCCTCCTCTTGTTCCTCTGCATATTCAGTGTGAAGACAATGAGAATGAAGACTTCTATGTTGACCCACTTCCGTTTAATGAATAGTAAATACATTTTCTAATGATTTTCTAAATAAGATTTTTTTCTCTAGCTTACTTTGTTGTAGGAATAGAGTATATAATACATAAAACATGCAAAATATGTGTTAATTTACTGTTTATGTTATTAGTAAGGTTTATTGTCAATAGTAGGCTATTAGTAGTTAAGATTTTTGGGGACCCACGGATTGTCAGCTCACCAACCCCCATGTTAAGGGGTCAGCTGTAGATATAACAGATGGGCCAACAAGTTCATTTCAAAATGTAATCTAAAAAAAAAAAGTAATCTAAAAATTAGTTAATATTTGGAGAGAAAATTCATATTTTTATTTCTTTTAAATACTTGAGATAACCTTTTTCTGTCACTGGAAATCTTCTATTATTTTCTTTGCCTGCATTGGATGTTGGGTTTGAATAGAAGACAAACTATAAAATCATTCTGAAGTCTTATGGTTTCATGATTCCGTAGATATGGCAAGTTAGGTAACTCCAACTCAGGTAATTCACTACAGTACCTTAAAGGAAGATTAGATTCTATTCTGTTAGTACATTAGTGATTATGACTAATCACACTGTCAGATATTAACCACCAATTCTCATCTGTTGATCATAATATCTTAGAACAGATTTATGGTTTACCTACATGGACTAGAATTCTGTAATTCTTTGAAAAAAATCACTTAAGATAAATTTTATTATGTAAGAGTATGGCCTTACTTTTCCATACTTGATTCTCATCAACTTTAAAAAATGTTAATGTGGCACAGAAAAAATACAATTTCTGTTTTAGAATATCGATACTGGTAGTTACTACAAAGAGTTCTTTATAATAAGATAACAGATATGAGGAGTCAGTGGACTATTTTGAATAATGACACTTCATTTGTATTATTACTTTGATACTTGGTGAAGACCTGACAAATACTTAATACTAAAGAAGCTTTTACAGTGTAATATAAATTATATTTACCTCAAAAGAGTAAAAATAATGCTTTACATATGAAGTGAACTTGTTGGCAGTGCAGTTTCAGAACTAAACTCATATTTCATCTTCAGAAAAGATTTGGGATAGAAATTTGTGAACCATGTTGAGGAAATCAGCAGTTACATTTTATACACTTATTTTAAGGTTATTTTTTGAAAATAAAGCCCTTTTCATGTTTACAAGATCCAGCAGATGAATACATGTGCTAACAATGAGTTTTAGTCTTAATCTTGACCTTTTCACAAAGAAACTCTTACACTCAGGAAGTGGTGTGTTACACAGTATTGTTTTCCGTCTGCATGGGATGACAGATTTTAAGCTGATGTGGTTCGTTGCAGCTCTAGAGTTGTAGCAGAACTTCAGAGAAGCATCACGATGATACAGATCAGCAAGAGACATATTAAGATGAGACAGAAATTGATAAATAGGTTCTGTAGATTTTGACGTGCTTGTTGAGGCATTTCAATGGTTGAGGCTCTTCTTATAGCTGAGCGAGTGAGGTATTGGACTTTCTCCATGACACCAACAGGAGAGGAAGTCTGAAGTTTTAAGCGGTCAAGAGAAAGAAAAAACTGGCAGCCAAATATGAGATAACTGTCTTCTTTTAGGTAGCCTTGAATGTAAAAACAATAAATGGATTAGAATCATATATGTAACCTATTCTCAGAACAAAAAATACAATTTTGTATTAATTCATCTTTCTCAGCACTATTGTATTTATAACATCAAATGTTTCCGGCGCATGCGCACGTACGTGTGTGTGTGTGTGTGTGTGTGTGTGTGTGTGTGTGTGTAAGCATGAGCACGCCTGTGTTTCTTTTTATCTGTCTCTCTCTCCTTTTTTGATGGGGTGCACCATGACGGTCTCATTTGTGTTAGGAGTAGTAACTCCAGTCTTTGCCTTTTCTGCCAAATTTACTAGAAGTATTGCAGTAATCCTGAGTGTCATCCATAGGTTCCTGAAAACCATGACTATGCAAAACAACTATAATGAAACCATTTTTACTCTAGGCTAATTGATGTAAACAAGAGTTAAGTTCCTATGGCATATTTCTGGTCACAAAAATATTACTAAACTTCTCAATAAAGACCCCAAACACTTCTAATATTAAATGTTGAAAGAAATATGAACTATATATACATTTAAGAAAGATTAATAAAAACCAGATAGGCTGGGTGCAGTGGCTCACACCTGTAATCCCAGCATTGTGGGAGGCCGAGGCGGGCAGATCCTTGAGGTCAGGAGTTTGAGACCAGCCTTGCCAACATGGTAAAACCTGTCTCTACTGAAAATACAAAATTTAGCCAGGCTGGTGGCATGCACCTGTAATCCTAGCTACTCAGGAGGATTGCTGGAGGCCAGGAGGCAGAGGTTGCAGTGAGCCCAGATTGTGTCACTGTACTCCAGCCTGGGTGACAGAGCAAAACTCTGTCTCCAAAAGAAAAAAAAAAGCCACCAAAGATAATTACCCAATATTTGGTGAATCAGTGAATGACAGTGGTTGTGGTGGTTGATTAAAATCATGGAATCAATGTTTGAAAAATGAAAATTGTCAGGAACATTTCCAACTCCATGCAGATCAAAACCAATTCAAATACAGTGAAATCTCTGAGGGCTTTTGTGCCATAGCATTTATTGTCATGCATTTGTATGATGACCCTAGACTTCACCAATTTTTATTCGATAGTAATTTGTATTCATTCATTCATTTTTCAGCCCTCATATTCTAGTGTGGGGTCCTGCTGGCTGAAGCCAATCCCAGCAGCTCAAGGAGGGAGGAACCTACCTTGGATAGGAGGCCATCCCATCACAGGGTACACTCGTGTACGCACTCACATTGAACCCAGGACAACTTAAACACACCAGTGAACCTAATGTGCACTGTTCTGGGATATAGGAGGAAACCAGAGTTCCACAGATGAGGAGAGAATGTGCGAGCTCCACACATACTTAAGTGTTACAACAAAATGACATAGAAGGAAATGATGTTATTTGAGGACCTGCTGTAGTTGGTTTAAGGTACAGCTTGTTTTGGGTTATACTTTTGGGTAAAAGTTCTCACATATAATTTCTTTAAATCTGTTACTCTGTAGATGTAATTGGTTTGATCAGTCAGTGTATTAATAGCTCCAGAGCAAACATCATAAAAAGGAAATGCATACAACAAATTATTCCTTGGATCTTAATTTTAATCCAAAATAAAATAGTGTTAAATGAGAAGTGTTTTACCAAAAATAGAGATTCAAAGTATCATTCCCTTTTATGATTTTATAGCTTTATAGAATATTATCTTAAGTAACATTTTAATAAGATTTGATATTATGTACTGAAGACTGTCAAGCGCGGAATGCACAGTAATTATCATTATCTCACTATCTGCCACAGACATTTCCTATTTACAGACCTCTACTTAGAGCAGTAGTTTCCATTTGCCTTCTTTCAGAGATCCCGTAAGCTATTGCTGCCTGTGGGGTCTATACTTTGAATATTAATAAAACAAAATAAGAACTTACATGTCATTATAGAAAAATTATGTGTATTAACTTCAGAGATAATGGTTTTTAACACTTGGGAACATTTTATTCTCAATCAGGATACTTCTATATCAATTTTGAAATAAGGAAATTTAAAAATGGAGTAAAAAAGTCATAATTAACTGCCAGACATAGTGACTGTTAACATTTGTTGATACATTATTGTTTTTTTTTTTTTTTTTTGAGACGGAGTTTCACTCATGTTACACAGGCTGGAGTGCAATGGCGCGATCTCGGCTCACCGCAACCTCCGCCTCCTGGGTTCAGGCAATTCTCCTGCCTCAGCCTCCTGAGTAGCTGGGATTACAGGCACGC